TATGGAATTGCTTGGATGGTTCTCACGTCTCTCGCGTTGCTGGCGGATCGTTGACTGATGGTTTTGTAGATTGAAAAGATGGGCCATATGCTGGACAGGGACCGGCCCACGTAGAACAAGACAAAAGAACAAATCTTGGCAAGGATGTCTAGTTTTTTACGCGCATCACGGAGTTGGGTTGTTATCGGCTGGCATGTTTGAACACGTATAGCGAGTATTTTGCATAACATGTAAATTACATGACAATTCTCCAAACTTATAGAGCAGTCTGAGATTGTTTCCTGGACAAGATATTGGATGGATTTCCAGCCGCATGTCTTGTCTGCGGTCTACCCAGGTTTCTACGCAACCAAGTACAGAGTAGTTACTTACCGTCAACTGAAGTGTGACGTCCTGCCGGACCCACAATAATTTTCGACCAAATACTACTAGTCCCTTGGTGCCTGACGTCTTGTTCACTTTCGACAACACTGACTGTGAATTTCCATCTCTCAGCCGTGGTTGCTAGTTGGTCTTCACTCGCCACTCGAATAGGTTCTTTCGACTCTTTCATGCAACCATGCCGCGATAGAACATGTCAACCCAAGATATCCGATTGCGCCTCGCCATCCGGCGACACGGCGTGCCGGAAATCAAGCTCGTCTGGCCGTGTGCTTGCTCCTCAGACACGACCATTGCCAAGTTGCTGACCCAGGTCAATGAGGTGGTGCAATTGGAGAGCAGCGAATGGGGGCTAGAGGACTATGCGGTCGAGCTTTCAGATGACAAGGGAGGGAGCTACGAGTGTCTGCATTTCCAGCTGGTTTCGCAGATTTTGAAGGACGAGGATCATGTAGTGTACGTTTCCCGGGCTAAACTACCTAAACTACCAACTAATTACGGATTCGGCTGACATGACACATGTAGAATCCGGTCCCTTTTGACAGACGACATCCGAAGACGCCGGCTCAGCGGACGCCACCAGATTTCATCAGACGGCAAGCATCTTGTCGATGGGCTGGCTTTCGGGCGACCGTGGCTGCGAACACCTCGCGATCGGCCGGCTTTTGAGCTGCCTCCCCGCAAAAAGGCGCGAATTGAACACCAGGACGTGACTGAGCAGGAACAGGAGCCGGAGCAGCTGCTCTTGGAAGGACCGCCTCGACCTGACGAAGCTCGTGACGGCCGTCTGCAATCCATCTTGGTCAATGGAGGTGGTGATCCTAATGACTCGGAGGGCGAAGATGATGAATTCGAACCTGGTCAGGACACTGAGCAGAGTGCGTCCGGGGATAGTGAAGACGATGTTAACGTCGACTATTCGCCAGGGGCATTAGTTGAGGAGCTTCGGCTTCTAGACGAAGACGAAGACAGTGGCAACAACCAGTCGACTTCTAACGAAGCCACTCTAGAACAACTAGGTGTACTTCGGATGGCATTCCCTCTTTTATCGTTCTCGACAATTGAGAAGGAGCTTTTTCGACAAAAGCAAAATATGAGGAAGACGTATGATACGCTACGACGGTCGACTGCCCCAAGCCTTAGTTTTGACGATATGATGGACCGGATGGTTACAGGGCTCCTGGAGCAGCATGAATCCTCACCCGTGCAGCCCGTAGTACCCTCTTTCTTTCGTCAGCCACGACCAGCTTCGAAGCCTCTTATTGAGGAAGTAGACAGCAATGGCTCGGATACGTCAACTTCAGGGACAAGCTACGACAGCAGTTCTGGTTCCGCTGACGACGAGCATGACGAGGGTGATTCGAGCTATGAGGACACCAGTGACTCTCCAGATGAGAGCTCAGACAGCGATAGTGACGAGTCATCTGATGATAGCTCAAGTGATTCAGATGAATCTGATTCCGAGCCACGGCCTGAGTCTAAGCCTGTACAAGAGATCCCAAGGCCTCGGAAGGCACTGGTCAAAAGGGAGGGAACCGCGCCTTATGAAGGCCTCTCGCGGACACAAAAACGCAATGCTCGACGGAAACGGGCCAGGCTCTTGAGTCAACAAGAGAGAATCTGGACGCCAGAATTGGAGAACGCAGAGCTTCTGGCTCGGAAGGAGGCTTTATTGGACGCCCTGTCCGAGAATACTCCCCTCGAGGCCACAAGTGAACCGACCTTGACTAACGGCAAGGCAACACAGACATTAGAAGAACCTCGTAACGAGACGTTATTCGCTAGTAACGATTCGCCAGGACGGCGTGCTCGAGTGGACATGGGGGCCGGGAGAAGAATGCTGTTTGGGGCGTTGGGGCTCAAGAACCCCAAGTCCAAAGCCGACGAAGAGCGCATCAGGGAGGGCCTTATGAAAGACGTCAAGGCTTTGAATAATCCCAGAATCGTCGAAGTTGTTGATAGCAAAGACACTGAGGAACCTAGCGAGGACGACGTTCATCCTGACGCATGGAAATCCAAGATTACGTATCGGGCGGTGGAATGTTGCCACGAGGGCATGGTGCTGTCGGAGCCTCCATTCCCCTTTGTTCAACGATGGGACCCCCAACAACAATACGGATCTATGCGCAAACGAAAGCGGGAATCTCAAGCCTACTGTGACGACTCTTATGCCGAGGAAGGCTCCGGAGTGTTTGGAGAAGAGGCAGACGCAATTGGCGCAAAGAGCAACTCAAAAAAGAAGCAGTCGGCAGGAAGTCGGGATCCGTTTGGCAACCATGTGAATGGGGTAGAAGAAGCTACCACCAACGGCGACGGCGTCGATGATGTGGAAGTTGAAAAAGATTTGCCAGCATTGCCCGAGGATATGGGCAGCCTTGCCACGCTGGAGAAGGGCGGTGCCAAGGAAGGGATGGTCATTACGTGGAAGCAGTGCATCATGTCGAAAGCTACACAGTGGCAGCCTGTGATTGCTTACATCACCGGAGAGGTCCTCCCCGGTAGTACCGAGTCTAGTCTGGAAGTCCGACTGGCGTTGAGGGATCGGGAGCACAAGGAGAAGGTTTTCGATGACAAGGGCCAGAGGGTATACGATAGGTTCGAGGTGCCTGATTTTGACGAGGACGAAGAACAGGCGGATGATGGACACCGGACTATTGGCTGGGACGAGATGATTGAGTCCAAGATTCTTCAGGCCACGCCGCCACGTACGGAAGGGAGCGCGGGATGAATGATTTCCGTCATTGACGGTCACCTTGGGTTGGAGCGCTCAGGCATTACATTACATATTGGCGTTGGGGGCCTCTCGGATACCACGTGTATAATAGGGCTACGGGTGTTGGTTGACAGTATACATGTATACTCGTATCGCAGACGACGTGTCTCAGCCACGAGATGTGTTTAACAATAGGTGCGAGCAGTTTGTTCTCAGAATCTGGCTACACATCGCGAGTGGTTGATGGTTCACGCTTGAACGGTAGGATTGAGTCTTGGCGTACCAGAACAGTGAGTGACGGGTGGTTGATGGATCTGGGCCCTGGAACATGGGACGGACCCCTTGAGATCTGGGTCGGTTCACGGATGGATACGTGTTGGACCCAGGTTTGTGGGGTGTGTGTATGTGTGTGTGTGTACAATCGATACTGGCCCTTGCTAGGAACCGGAATGCTTGAGTTCTTGGCCCAGCTCGTATCAATCTCTTTTTTTTCCGGCGTACTTGTTGGACAAGACGAGGGCCGCCTCAAAACGATGCTGCGTGTTTTGTAAAAAGACGAAACAACGGCTGGATTGGGTAGCGAAGTCGATCGTGAAGGGCGCCAAAAGGCGGGGGATCGGCCAAATCCACTGGGTAAGCACAAGCCGTCAAGTCTTGGCATGTTCAGCTGTGGCGGGACAAGCTAGTCCTTGCACCCAAAAGACCTGTGAGCGCCTGGCCTTTTGGCGACTCGACTCGTGCAAACAAAAAGGAAACATTTGAATTCTAGGCGGTCGGACCAGATCTCTGTGCAGTCGAGCTGGCTGGTGCCTCCAGGGTCCATGTCCAGAGTGTCCCGAATGTGTGACTGTGGGGGGGATTTGGGTGCCACCAGCATAAATGGACGGCGCATCACCTCCAGTCAAATCGATGACCGTGTCAACTTGGGCGCGGGTGGGCATTGCCAGTCGTGGCGGAATACACCACTAGGCCTGGGGTGATTTGTCGGAGCACTCGGTAGGAAAAGTTGGCGTTGAGTGGTCTGGTTCTTTTCAAGAAGGGGAGGGAGTTGGTCGTCTGATGTGGTGGAGGGTGGTTGTAAGTCTCCCAAGGTCCCATGGGGGCCATGTGATCAGACACGGCCCCGATTAACGTCGAACCGGTGCCTCAATGTTGGTCATTTGTGAACCCCCAAGCCCTGACGGCCGTGAGAAGAAGTCTCGGACATGTAAAAGGGCAGAGACTTACCCACCGTGGGAGTTTTCCTACATGCCGTATTTCCATGTTCCGCTTCTAAACCACCTCCCTTTGCCCAAAGCATTCCCCGATCATTCTTCACCTGGGTGCATGAACGGTGCGAGGGATACATCTCGTCTTGGCAACCACACTGCCGCACGCCACATAGCCCTGGCCAAATACCACCTCCGAGAACCGATATACGCCCTTCCCTCCGAGCTAACCGGCCTCTACATCAAAGGATACTATCAAACACGAGATTCCTAGAAAAGCAATAAAAAAAAAATAAAATAGAAATAAAAAGAGTCTCCGCAAAGTGCAACCCGAGCAGATAAACCCTCTTCTCCCGCCCGGCGGGGCCTGAGCAAAACCATGTCCCAACGACTACCCTACACATCGCCGTGGCGGCGGCCCGTCTTGCTGCTCGCCGCCTTCATCCTCCTCTCATGGTCGCTGCCCATACACGCGGAAAGAGAAGCGGACGTCGAGGAATCCATCAAGAGGATACGCCATGGGCCGGTCCTCCCCCCCGATCCCACGGGGTACAAAAGAGCCCATCAAGACGGTACCTACGACCCTCACAAAAGGCGGGACGAGCTCGACGGTAACCATGATACAAGTGCGGCAGGCGACGCAGACAATCACCAACCACATGGCGTCGACCCCCAGGGACATGGCCACCCGGATGCTCGCCGTCTCGACCGACGAGATGCACCTGCTCCTGCGCCACCGGCCTACACCCCCATCGTGACGCCGGCCCCGGACCAAGACGCCGTTTTGGCCAGCCAGGGCTACCGCCAAGTCACGTATTATACCTGCAACACCATTGCCGGCAACGAGCATTGCGGCTGGCATGTGCCCGTTGTCAAGGCCCAGGGCGTGAGGAGGGATTCCGCTACCGTGTGGGTGGTTGTCGGGTGTTTGGCCGGCGTGTTTGCCCTGGGGTTGATGTGAGGGTTCGTGTTTGCTGGCTTTTTGCCGTGTCATGAGGAATGAAATTTTTTTTTCTGCGATTGCATGGTCTGGTGTATTTGGTTCCGGTCATGGACTGTGCTTGGGAGTGTATCGACTGGATTTGGGCCCATCAGGGTCGGTGGGAGGTGTTTGGTGCTTGCGCAGATATCGTGATACCCGCTGCTGGACGGCATGCTGCGTTGTTTGAATACAATATCTCCTCCTCATTTGGTTACATGTTACCTACCGTCGTGCAATCTCGTCAGGTGCTAAACCCACCTTCACCACAACCGCAGCCCAGTAACACTAGATGACAAAGTCTCCATGCCAGTAAAAACACATTCACACACACTCTTCACAAAATATGCCCCAAGTCACACGGGATACCCGCAGCACAAAGATGTGAACCACATGTATCGTAATTTTTTTTTGTTGGTCCGAAACCGAAACACCGTTGATTTCATGCTAGTGTAGTCAAGGGAGAAGACCATGGAAGCCGTGGTCTCACCCGTCCGTTCCCCCCCAAAAGCCGAACGCGTTCCCAGAGGTTCGTGAACATAGTTTCCCATATGCCCAAGAAATCCAAGCGCCCCGCGGTACGCTGATACCACACATCCGCGGACGCAGCCACAATACAGCCTCGCCCATCGCCCCCGTTTTTACAACGATGTACGTCACGCTTATTTGTCCTTCTTCGCCTTGGCACCCTTGACCTTTGCCGTGCCACGGAGCGTCTTCTGTCGGTTCTTGCGCTGCTTGCCTGCGGGTGGGTGTTAGCACTAGTGTTCCGTCTTTTGCCTCGTACAAAAAATGCCCGAGTCTGCGTGGGGAGAAAGGGTGGATTCTGGCTGGCAGCTTCCACGCCGAGGGGTGCGGTCGACGTACGCTGCTGTCTGCTGGCACGCTCGGGCTTGGTGGCCATGCCGACACGGACAAGGCGGTAGGTGGGCTCAAACTTCTTCAGGGCCTCGGGGGAGTCGTAGATGAGGGCGAAGCCGGTGGTCTTGCCGCCACCGAACTGGGTTCGCAGGCCAAAGACCTGGACCTGGTCCTTCTGGGCCTTGTACATGCCGCCGAGCTTCTCGCGGAGCTCCTCCTTGGAGATGTTGGGCCGGCTGGGATGGAGGATGTCACTATTCGGTGCATTAGCATTACATGTTCTTTTCCCTACGTGATCATCGTTTGTCGTGTCGCGCGAGAATGTTGTCTTGTCGAGGTTTCACGGGGCGATGGCTTCGTCTGTTGGCAATCTCATCGTGCCGATAGGCGGATAAATAATGTGCATGCCCGTCCGCGCTACGCATGCCCCATATGAAATGAAAATTTTTTGTTCAGTTCTCAGCCGTCGGGGGATGTTTTGGGTGTTGAACAGGTTGACTAGAGTAGTAACCAATCTTTTTTTTTGTGATACGTTTTGTCGTCGAATTTGTCGCATGAGAAAATTTGCAGATAGTAACGCCGGGCCCCGTGAAGTCGAACGTTCAAATTGCGCGGCACCATTGAACAGGGGGGGTTTTCAAACTCACACAACCATCTGCTTGCGACCCAGCAAAGGGTTACGGATGAACTTGCGAGTTCGAAGAGTAACGGGGCTGTCGTTGTCCGCCATGGTTGCGGTGTTGTGATGTTGTCTCTGTGGGTGGTGACGGAGAAGAGACTGGGCGTTGGGCGTGGTGACTTCAAATCCGTGGTGGTTGAGAGGGCTGGCCCAGCGAAATCTGACCCAGGACGAAAATTCCGTCCGCCGCCCGTATCGCTTAAACTGGGTCCAACCCTAACAATTTGTGCGTGCGTTGGAGTGGGGGGGTTTTCAAAAAGGATGTGTGTGCCTGAGAAACAGGGTGCACAAAATTTCGCAGGAAAACCACGTGATGCGTCGGACAAGTTTCGGAAAATTACATTGCCATTTTGGGATGTTGAACCCCACACTGTCTCCGCGCGGGTGCCATTGAGCAAGCACGCGAGCTTTCAAGCCGTCAACGTGTTGCCAACTTAAATTGAGCATCTACAAATGGACTGGTACTCTGGTCTAACATGGATCCTCCATGGAGGCAAGAGGTAGATCGGTTCTGTTACCAATACCTTCAACTGGAGCCGATTCTTGACTATCCTCAAGACAAATTCCTCCGTTTGGAAGTCGTTCAGAATGACATCTACAAGCGTATCTTCTGTGATGAGACGGGCAGTGTCGGCCCTCCAGACAGATATCGCATCAAGATTTTGAAGGAGCTGGTGTTCCGAATAGAGTCTTCAATAGATGACTGGGATAGATATGTAAGTTTTCTCCTCGTAGCTTTACATCCATTCCCACACCACCAAGCCATAATCATGGTCGTTCTGACCAAAGGGTCAAAGGCGGTATCTGACGATATCATGAACACACTATCGGCACTTCTGGCCACTCCCATGCCACCAGATGCTGTATCAGCACAAAAGAAGTGCTATGTAACATATCACCTGTCCGTGCTTGAGCGTGGGACGCAGTCAGAGACGGCCGGTCCACATCCGAGCATCACGCTCCTCGAAAACCGAAACCTAATTGCCGCGGGCGGTACAACGGGCCACAGGACCTGGGAGGCGGCATTACAATTGGGACAATACCTGTGTCAAAACCCGTCCCTAGTCGCGGGAAAACGCGTGCTGGAATTGGGTGCCGGTACCGGATACCCGTCTATACTCTGTGTGAAGCATCTGCAAGCAGGTCACGCCATTGCTTCGGATGGATCCGACGACGTCATTAACAACCTGCCGGATAATTTGTTCCTCAACAGTCTCCAGGACTCGTCGAAAATCACCCTCATGGATATCAAATGGGGACATGCATTGGTTGGCACGGAGGATGAGAAGTGGAATAGTGGCCAGCCAGTCGATGTCGTACTGGGTGCTGATATCACGTATGATGAGCGTGTTATGCCGGCTTTGGTCGCGACTCTTTTCGACCTTTTTGGGATGTATCCAAGCCTTCAAGTGTACATATCGGCAACCGAACGAAATGCAGAGACATACCAGGCGTTTCTGAAGGTGTGCAGACAGCGGAACCTGGCTGTAGAGGATCTGCACATTGATGTGCCTCCTCGATCGAAGCAGAATGGCCCGTTTTACGATGACCAGCTGGCGATACACTTGTGCAGAGTATCTAGAACTTGATGGGACAGATGGGAAGATGATGACCATGTCATGGCTGCTAGTTGGAGGAAGCCCAGGATTTTCCTTGGCCACAGTTTCTGCGGAAGTGGCAGCCAGGAATTGAAGCAAGGAAGTTGGGAAGTTGGAAACATGGAATTTGTTTTGGCGAGCGTCATCACTGCCATCACCCTCTCCCACTTACGGTGCAAGCGGTGGTCCGTTCTGATTGACGCCATCCGCCGTGCGGGACGGGGGCTGTCTCATGACGGTAGCGGCGCCTATCGGTCTGTGGGGAGGCGAGACAGTGTGTGAAGTCATGGACGGGGGAATTGTCATGCACCGGGTGTAAGCAGGAGGGACGAGAGGATTTATTATACACCGTAACTAGTTAGTTACTAGGTAGTTGGTGAGATGATGCCAAGCGTAGGCCAGGCATTGTTCCGGTCGTAGGCAAACGACTCCGCAAGTACTAGCTAGTTTTCAGAGTCATTACTGTATATTCATCAATTGTTCAAGGAGGCTCATTCGTGATGGGTAACGGGCCCCCTCCGTGTCCTGGTTGGCAAACAAAACGTGGATGAGCGTACCCCATCATTTGGAACCCTGGCGACACGCGTTTCCAGTGGGTCAGGATGTGGATGTCCTGTTTCTTACTCCGTACAAGTTTGCTTTTCCAAAAGTTGGCAGGGGCACGTCTCACTCTCGATGAGTGCCTGCCTGCGGTAATGGCAGCCAGCTCTTAAGGAGTAGACGAGCTGGGTGATCTTGTCGGTCAATGGGACAGTCGGCTGTACCAAGAGAAGAGAGCCTTGCACAATGATGTACTAGGTACCTACCTAGGTACCTAGGGTAGGTTTGTGGCATCATACTTTGGCGCAATACGTGTGTACTCGGCATGGCAGCACGTGTTGTATGTACGGGTTGGTTGGAGATGGCAGCCGTCTTGTTTGCTTATTGCAACGCACACAAAGCTTCAAATGCTGTTCTTTTGTGGCTGTTTTCCGTGGCCCGTGCCTGCCGTGATGATTCAGAATTGCATAATTTCCTGGCATGTTTGGTGCCAGGGTTGGTCGTCTCGATTTAATTGCCCATGTGCGGTTGTCCCGCCTCTTAAGCATGGCTCTCACACTAAGCTATTTCCGTTTGCAGCATCAAGCCGTCAATCGCTCGGGTCCACCGGACTCTACCTGGAGAAGGCACTCCGTAACTTGTCTGGCGTTACAATATAGGCTTTTTTCAATACGGAGTAGTATCACAGCATATTGTAAAACATGATGAGCCGCTCAACACTTATCAAGAACCGCTACTACAATGCAAATGTTAGAGTACACCTATCTCAACAAATGGCCTCTGAGTTCCGAGTCTCGTCGTCGCCTCAACTGAGCGCGTACAAAATATTGAGACTCTCACCAGAGTCACCACCGTCACCTGAACCTCACTTGCAGATTTGTCCCCCAACAGGCCTCCTGCCTTTTCATCACCCAAGCCAAAAGAACCTGCAGCCGGTCAGTCCTGCTCGTCAGTCCCACGTGTTACGTCCCAGGCAGGCAGGTTATTCCACCCTCCAAACGATCCCTGGCCTGATTCTGGACCAGTCTCGTTCCAGTCGGGCGCCACAAGCATACCACCCAAATCACGATACCACGAACCAGTCAACCAGTTCAACCAGTGCCACCACCTCACCACCTCGTCACCTCAGCTGGCGGCAAACGTTACCGTGTTCCCAAATCTCAACCTGCTCAAGTGGCAGTACGCCCCCGACCTGGGTCCGATGTCCTTTAATTGCTTGTCATCTGGCCCAGGTAGCTTATTTTCTCTGCATCTCGGCATCTCTGCGTCTTCTGGCTCAAAGGCCCAGCCGCCTGCGCCATACCAACATGCGGTAGCGCCATCCAGCTCCAGCTCCGTTCTAGGCTTCTCTCCTCGCCGTCGTTTCGTGGAAAGTGTCTAGAGTGTCGCCACCGTCATCAACCCCATTGGCCAGAGCCGTTGATTGCCAACATTTGCAACGAGGAAATTTCCGTACGAGTCAAAAGTACGAGTCGAAGACGCTGTGCTCAGATGCCCACTCGAGCTCCAGTCGTCGTCTCCCGCCTCCCACTGTATGTACATTAGGTCATTAGATTGCCCCCCCCCCCCCCCCGGC